GAATTGCTGTGAAATAAGTGAGAGCTGGTGGAAATTTCATACACCCAGGTAGGTGTAGAAGATTTGAGATATTCCAGTATATTTCTCTGGCTTTCTAAAGAGTCTTAATACAAGTTAAAGATCTCTTTACAAATATTGCCCCTATTTGTAATGCTGTGTGTAAATCCTTCATGTTATCTGTATTATACTGTATAATTGTGTAAGATACGTATATTTACAATAAATTCTTTTATTAGCTGTGATAGGATTGTGTGACTGTCACCTGTCACTCAAGTTTCTCCAAGCCCCCAAGGTTTTGTATCCTTTGCATCCTTGGAACGTTTTGGTTAGTTTTGGAGAAAATTTGGTGGATCTTGAATTTTATCAGAAAGAAAAGGTAATTTTTGCCCTGTTCTAGTTGTTTTTAATAGCTTTTGGTTTGGGGAGGTTGGGGGAAGGGGTGACAGCAACTCAGCACGCTTAGCTCCCCCAACTTCTCATCTTGCAGGGCGGCTCATAAAAACAGCAAGTAATTGGTTTGCCCTGAGCTGTGTGGAAGATTGAAGAGGAATGGAAAAAAGTAAGAAAAGGTGATTTCTCAGTTTGATTGGCAAGATTGCGGGGAAAGAAAATCTTAGGTGACCGTGAGCAGTTTTCACACACTCTTGCCTTTGAGAATGCTGGAAAACTGATTCTTCTTGTACTACATCCCATAAAAGAGCCCCCTCAAACTGAGCGTAAACTGTAGTGCCTTTTACAGTACAAGAGCCAAGCAAATGAGAGTGCAGCCATTGAAGGCTGGCTGTGCTGTGGATTCAGTTGGTGGTGGTAATGCTTTTTGGAATGTTTTAGCTGATACCTTCGCTTGTGGATCTTGCAGCCCTGTCCTCTTGCTTTGACGCATTCGTAACTGTAGCTACAGGAAGTGGTTGTCATTTGCAGGAGATGAGAATGCAGTCATGCAGAACACCTCCTGCAGGCATGTACTCATCGAGATTTTTCTTATGTTCTGTTATTAGCCTTCCCTCCTGGCAAGGAGGGTCTCTGCCAAACCACTGCCATCTGGCTCTGATTCTAGGGCATATTCATAGCTTGCTGTGGCCTTCCCAGTTGGCAAAGGCCTGAAATCAATGGGCTGACTTGTAATTAATGCTGTACTGTCACGGCTATAAAAGCAGTTACAGTGCTCCCAGAAGGTGCTGCACCCTCAGCTTCCAAAATGAAGTCATTCGTATACAGAGGTAGCACAGGAGCAAGTAGGGTAGCTGTGTCACTGTGCACTGACCTGATGATGTAAAAGAAAGAGCCACCAGGCAAGAGGGATTGCCCAGCCATCCTGTGCCATCTCTGTTCCGGAAGCGAGCACAGTCTCTCTGGGTCAAATGGCACCAACGCGTTTACCATAAACTATATAGACCTTACATTACTGCATGGTGGCCAATATAGAGAAAATCTGTGGGGATAAGGCAGACGTAATAGGTTTTCATCTGATTGTTCACCCCACAAGAAATTCATGCAATGAGAAAATCTGCAGTTTATAAAAGGCAATATTTTTACGCACACAGAAATCATCAGTGTGTCGCTTGTAACTTTTCAGGTATTCAGTTCAGGCAATGAGAACTGGCCTGAGTTATTGAGTGTATAACACACCAGAGCTTCACCTGAGCATGCAGAAGTGCAGATGTTCCTGGCTCCCTGGAGTAACAGAGGCACCTGGCAAAAACCTAGCTCGCAGCATCCCGACAGGCCGAATGTTGCCTGCCAGCAGGAGATGAAACAAAACAAGCGTGTTCAATGCCATGCTATAGGTAGTGAATTACAGAGATTCAGGTATAAAACCTTCCTTTTAAAGGAGATTTTTTTTGGTGTCAGATAAATCTGGTTTGTGGAGCGATTCACAGTGGGAAAACCTTGGTGGACTGAAGTGAACCCAGAGCAGCTGGGAGCACAAATGTGCGAGAGCGGTGATGGAGGCAGTCCCTGCACTCTGACTACCTGGAGCGTGCTAACTCTGCGTTTATGAGGAGATTTGCTCTCTTCTGAAGAATTTAGTCAATTTGACTGAGGCAGGCAGTTCCCATGCAAAAGCAGGCATGTTGCAGCTGTCAGCAGACAGCATCATCTCTTGTCCCTTCCAGCTGGTAAGTACCTGCTTGGTTTTCCCTTCGTTCCCTCCTGTAGTTGGAGCCAGACAACAGCATCATAAGCCTGTGGCTTTCTCCTGGCAGTCTTCTGAGGCATAGCGAGAAGTGGAATTTCTGTATCTGGGGACACTGGCTCTATAGTCAGCACATCTATATACTCGCAAAAATGTTCTTGGGAGCATTTATAAAGCAGTAGTCTTAAAAGCTCGTAGCATTTGCCCTATGATCTGTGTAAGATGGCAGAGTGGAAGTGAGGTGAAAGGCAAGTTGCTTGTCTCTTTCTGTTAACAGGGCAGCGCTGGAAGGGGTCTTGGGAGCATGGCATCTACGAATCAGAGTAGATGGACCCTCTGCATGTCTAATGGTGAAGGCAGCAAATCAGTATTATTGGTTCATTCCCATTTCCCCATGTTGACTAGCTGCCTTCTGAACAGTTTTCTTTCCGTTTGAAAGTGTCTGGGGAAAATCCCATAAGCAATTATGCATTCTGCCAAGCAACAGCTTTCCCTTTGAAGGCAATTGTGCTTTTAAATCAGCATTCAGACGTGCCACAGCTCGAAACGTGCCTCGGAAGTCATTCTTCATAGGGGTCTGTGCCTGCAGATAAGCTTGAGGAATAAGGAATTGTCTGCTGATGGTTGTGAATGGCTGGAAATAGGCTGTGAATGCAGAGTCGGGAATCTCACTGACCCCTTGCTTGGTGTCCTGTATGTGCTACTGTCCAGTGCAGGTGTGAGGGAACAAGCTTTTGTAAAGGGGATGTGGAGGTCACCGTCTGATTTAATGACTTTCCTCATCCATAGGACCTTGGACCGGGTGCAGCCCTGTTGGGGTTTTGCTGAGTTAAACTTGTGACAGTTTCAGGGGATTGGCGATAACTGGAGGGAAATGCCTGCGTTCCCTGCCTCCCTCTGCCATGCCTCAGCTATGGGCATCCCTCCCAGGGCCCCTCTCTCCGAATTGGGATGGAGCAGCTGTCCTCTTCCCTTCCTCAGCCCCAACTCCTGCCCTGTCTTCCCTCGTGCCGGCCCAGAACGTGCCATGTGGGGTGCAGTGGTCTGCAGCATCTCCTCACTGAGGAGAACAGGTAGACTGGGTTATAATGCTGACTTCCTTGTTGAGGCTGAATCGCCAAGGGTTGTTTTACACCAGGAAGGATTTTGCAAACGAACCAATAGCCAAAATACATTTTAATAAATTAAATTAACCTCCAATCTATTTGGTAAAATACAAGCTTATATTACCAGTTTGTTTACAACTGGGTTGATCTTTTTTTTCTTTCTTTTTTCTTTTTTTCCTCTTTTTAAGAAATACAGTGAATTAAGAAGACAGACTGAATAGGCAGAATGTGTTTTTCTGCTGTTAATAGAGTCCAGGACTGAAATGAACTGAAATGGTTTGGACAAAATTGTTAAAAACATTATAAAGAGATTAATCAGGCAAATTGGATTTTTTCTTAGAAACAGCTAACATGCAAAACCTTTAGTGCAGTTTGAATGTTTCAAATGAATTTCTTGAAAAATGAGTCGTCGTCGTCGTCGTCCCCCCCCCCCCCAAAAAAAAAAAAAATTTAAAATTTTTTTGGCAAGTACTGGTATTACTTTATGTTCTTCTAGGTCTAAATGAAAGGACAAGTGTGAGAAGTTTCCATCCCTCATCCCCAAAAAGCCCGGCTTACTGAGGATGTTACCTGTACTTGTGCTTAGTCCTAAGTTCAGTCCTGTTGAAATAACTAACAGAGGTGGCACCATTTAAATCCTCACATAACGCAGTGAGAAGATGCTCTCTGTGTGAATTTCGAGTATAATCCACATGCCAGCAGGTTCAAAAATTGTTCTTACGGAAACTACCAGCAATGGATATGCGTTTACAGAGTGACAAAAGTTCATTAAATTTACCTGTGACTTGAGCTAGAAGGTGGTTAAGGAAAAAGCCCGTGTTGAAGTGCATTTCATTACAGGTGAATGAGTATCTGATCACTATTCAAGTTTGAGGATACAGTTCCCTTTCATTCTAGCAGACACATTTCAAACACACAGACAAAATTTTTTCTATTTCCTTTTTTCCCAAAATAATTAGGAAAAACATTAAAGAAGCGGTAGACTAATTGTGTTGCATAAGTCCTTGAGATAAAACTCTAAACCTACTACAGGATCAACAAAGGCTAAAAAATGGCTTCTTAAAACACAAGTACTTCAGCAAAAGTTAAATCCATACCAATCTAAAAAAAAATCAACTTTAGAATAATGACACTTCAGATGATCTATTTTAGAAATGAAGGATGTCTTACATTCTACTTTTTTTTTTAATGTTTCTAAGTAACATTCATTTCTGGTTGTTAGCATTAGCATTACCATTATACAGGCAATAATTTAGGAATTTCAAGGCAATATACTTTCCACCTTGCATATGCAAAGAGTTAACATTTATTAAAAGTATAAGCATATCCTTTTCATTAAAGGATCATAAGTTGCTTTAGGTAAAATCCATGTACAGTATTTACACTCACCCTAAGCACAACTATACAAGTGACATCATTATTTCGGATCTGCTCCTGAGGAGTCTGGTAGGTGTCTAGCTGACTCCATCCGTGCAGTCATCTCTGAGCCTAGTTGGTGCATTGTTTTCAGGGCTGCTTCAGAAGTTCAATCTCCTCTTGCTCTTCTGTCAACTCTCCAGTTTTTGAAACGTCCAGCTTTCCAGCCCTAACGTCTCCAGACGCTGCATTTGCCCGATGTATTTTTTTTAGAGTACAACAATGGCATACTCCCTCCAGCTTCTAAAACAACCCTGGAAGCTAAGACCATCTCCTTTGATGCTGTGCTTTCCAGTGATGCCATTTGAGGTCTG